GCAAGTTGCTTTTACCTAACTCAGCCCTTCTTCAGCTACAACCAGGTGCCTCACAGATGTGTGCTTTTAGCCATAGAAGGGGACTGGGTGAGATTGTGGGAACTAACAGGCGCCAATCCATCACCAAGACTAGAAAAACAACATACAGGTGAATGTCTCACTCATGGTACATGAGACATCATGTCTATGGAATGGAAGTCAGGAAGGGTCCTGAGTGCAGATTATGTGGGGCTCAAAGGCCACAGGAGGGATTTAGGCTTTTACTAGAATAAGATGGGGAAAGTATCTCAGCTGAGAAGTCATCTGATTTAGCTGACCTGAAAAAAAAACAACAAAAAAAAACTGCTGTGCTGAGTAAAGTTGATAGGAGCCAAGAACAGAAGCAGGGAGACTAGTTGGGACTTTGGCACAGTAACCTACAAAAGAGGACCGTGACTTGGCCAACGTGTTAAGTCAGTGATGTGGATGACCTGGAGGAAGTCAGTGAGCATTCTGAAGGTGGAGCTACCATGGATGCAGATGTGAGAGAGAGGAGTCAAGGGTAATTCTTAAGTTCTGAGGCCTGAGCAACTCAAAGAATGGAATTGCTATAATAGAGATTAGGAGAAAAGCTTTTTTGAACATATAAAGTTTGAGATGTCTATTGAGCCCCCCAAAACACTGGCAATTTGCAAGCTCCAGGATAGAGGTGTAGGTTGAAAAGATTATTTGAAAATCATCATAAAGTAGTGATAGTTATATATGATACTCTCCATTAGTATAATTAGAAGTATTCTAATAAAAAAGTTTTGMAAGAGAGCTCATCTATTTCACAAAGCAAGATACCCTTGTGTATATACTGTACTGTAATAGTCCCATGCTGAGAAGTAGTCCTGAATCCCTTCTCCCCTTGAGGTTTGTGGGTATGACATCTTATTTGCCCATTTCAAAGGGATTAAATGCCTCCCTCCCTTCCCTACCTTACCATATCCCCAAGAGACAACCATGTGGTTACTAGCAGAGAATAGCTCAGTTGCTCTTGCAGCACATTTAAAGGCAGATGAGAAAAGCCTTCACTCTGAAATAGGCTTGGCTCCAAATGAGTGGGGGGCACTGATTTTGGAGGTCACTGCAGAATACTTCAAGGCTTCCCCTTTCCCTGGCAGCACAAATGCAGCTGCCATGACACAGAGCTCTTAAGAAAATATGTTAAGGAACACCCACTCTGGGACTAGGACATTAAATTGTCTAAATGTGTGTGTGGGGAGGGGATAGTGCAGAGTTAGGCTTTACACTGAAGCAAATGGCAGATGCCTAATTAAAGCATTCACAATTAGTTTGACTTGTTCTGGGATTCCTTCCTACAAACAAATAAGATGGGAGAATATATTAGCTCTTGGCAATCTAGTTCTAAAAAAACTTTTGGTCCCATCATCACTCCTTTATACTGCTCGAAAAAGAGCTAATCCACTATATATCCCATATGTGTGTGTGTGTGTGTGTGTGTGTGTGTGTGTGTTTGTGTGTATAATGTTTTCCCTGTTCAAAACAGTATTTTTCTTCATTTCATATAGGTGTACAATTATTCATTTACTTTTAAACCACAAGTACTTATTTTAAATTTAACACAAGTTTTTAAATTTGGATCTCTTATTTTTATGCAGTGAAGAAGATAACCGTCTTCCTAAATCTCGCTATCCTGATTCAACACACTCAATCTCACTGATGCAATATTACATGCCCACTTGAGAAGTAAATGCTATTTTTTTAATAATGGGAAAAGCATTCACTAGACATGGAAAGGTATGTGTTTGTGTGCAAAGAGTTGCACTTATTACCACTTTGCAATAACCACATAGTTGAAGGTAGATTCTTTTTTCCACTATAGCAAAAATAAACAGGTCTACTCTAAATGGAATGAACTATGTGTGACTATTTCATTCATTCATTTAACATTTAATTGACTTTACTATACCATGTCTTATGAGTTTTTACCCAATTTTAACTTAAGTATTTGTCCAATAAGTATATTCTGCAGATGATTCCTGAGATAATGATTTGAAGGTTTAATGTTTACTTTTGTGGATTATATGCATTATTGAGAATATGACACATTTCTAAAGGGTGATAGTTGCAAAACATAACACATAGGAAAGACTGTTACTCCTAAATATAGTAAATAAAAGCATAAAATAGAAAGCTTATTTAATCAAKATGAACAGACTCATAACAGAAAAACAAGGTGTTAAATTTCATGTTTACTTTTTTTCTGCTTTAGATTGTCTTACAAAGCACCTCAGTTAAGTGTATCTAAAAGCAGGGAGTGGGGATTAGTCAAGATCACATTAAAGTTATCTATAAACTAGAATGGGTAAACCAAACTCAAAGAGCTAGTCCAATTATTTTCAACAGATAGTTTAGGTTAATAGGTGGAGACACAGTTCTGTCACTATATTTAAGGTTAGATTAATAATTAACTTTGGTGCCTTGGATAGTTTAATCACAAAGACTAAACACAGAATCTTTTTAAAAAATACAGAAAATGCTTGAAATCTTGATTTCTGCTAGCCATTTGAGTCAAGTGTGAGAAAGTGAAAAAAAAAGTGTAGGGTATTTCAATTCAGAATTGAACCAGGCATCTTTATTTTTAGGAAAAAAGTTAAATAAAGAATCAACGTATCTGTAACCATTAATCTTCCCCTGCCATCACAGTAGCAGAATGTAGTCTTAATGCCCAAGACGTAAGTCCGCAGCAGAGGGTGCTGGTGGAGGGGAGCAAGGGAAGACAGACAATTATCAGGATTAAAGAAAAGCAAGGCAAAGGCACTCAACCTTCCTACCCAGGAAAAACTTAAAAACCAGCGCTGGGGGGCATTAAATAGCTTTTCTGAGACCTGCTGACAGAATACTGTAACTGGCTTAAATGGCTTTTCACACACAAGGCAAAGAAAGTTAACGTACAAGTGTAGATGTGTGTGTGTGTGTGTGTGTGTGTGTGTGTGTGTGTGTGTGTGTCCGCGCGCGCGCCAGTGTTTTCAACCTTTCCTTAACAACTCGATTTCCATCAAGAGTAAACAAGGAGCGATCCCTGGGTGGCTGTGCTTGGCCTCCGCACTCCCCAGTCACCTTTCTCCCTTTAGATCAACCCGGAACAGCGGGCAGGGCAGCCTACTGCGATACAGGATGGAGACTGCCGCTGAAAATGCTTGCCCTGGCTGTGCAGACAGCGCCTCCAGTCTCYTGTTCCTCCCCTGCTCCACACACACCTGGCTCTGCTCTGCTCCTCCCCAGACATTCGGAGGCTGAAATACCGCGCGCTGGTCACAGGAGGCTCGGGATGCTGCGCTTGGAGCTGACCACTCACTCGCCAGCCAGCGAGCCCATGCCAGTGTCCACACGCACCCTAACACCAGCCTCTTCCACTGTGGTCACCCCAGCATCCCATGTTTTACCCCTGTACACTACTCCCACCCCCACCCAACCCTTCCCCGACTGCCTGAGAGACTGGTCCAGCAAGTGCCGCGCGGGCCGGGAGGCACCACTCTTCTACCGGCTGGCAACCTAGTTTTTAGCCTCATCCGGGTTGTCCACACAATTCCCTCTGGGTCTGGTTTCCCACAGACTCAGCACGCTGAGCCCTAGTCCTGTTATGCCCGCAGCCCTTGGCTTTCAGAGAAACTTTCCAGAAGTGCCTGATCCAGTGACCCCGCGCTGTAAAAGGGGAGGAGGCGCAGGGAATGGGGGCGGTGAGTGAGCAGGAAAGACATCAGAGTCAGGTTTCCTTTCCCGAAACCCTCAAGTCCGGGACAGCTCCCTGGCTCCCTCCRTGCTGTTCAGGTGGTGAGAGTATGGAGGAGACCTCAGGATCCTGCTTTGTATCATCTCCCATGGTGGAGAACTGAGAAAAACGTGGAGAATCAGGAAAAAATGACTCTTCACACATTACTAGGGTCAGGCTGGGTGGGTGGGCACTGCCTGCTTTGATCCCGAGCGTCCGGCTGCCCCAGAGGCAGCGCTGCAGAGTTGGGACAGCCACAAACCAGGGCCCGAGCAGAGTCCTTGTCTGGGTGGCAGGCACAGGGCTATCACTAGTCGGGTCTCCCCCACTTCCCCCTCCAGGGATACCTCCTTTCTAGGGAGGGACCCCACAGATCTTGGAAGAGGGGGCAGCAGGGGCCAGCCTCAGCCTGTGGGGCTCTGTGTTTGAGGGAGACGCAGCAGCGACGGACTGTATCCTCGCAGCTCGGGTGGGAGCTGAGTCGGGGGACAGGACCTAGGGCGGGGGCGCCGCGGCACATCGAGAGGCCGCTCCAGGGCACTTATTCGAGCAAACAAAGCCCGGAACCTCTGGTGCCAGAGGCCTCTGGAGAGGGGATCTCACCAAGAAGCAGGGCGCGTGGGTACCCAGGGCCATTACAAGTTTCCCGCACTCCACAGAGCCCAGCCCAGACCCAGCGCTGACAACAAAAGATTCTCTTCGCTTCCCCCACGGTCTCCACAGAACCTCTTCTCCCACCCCAGAACCTAAACCTGTCACTGGACGAAAACAACGCTGTTCTACCCAACCGCCTCTAGCCCTCGAGGGCAAAATCCTTTCCTCTCCCTTTTWCCTGCATTCAACACTAGGTCTGGGTGCTTCTGAGAGTCCCACCCTCTCGGGTTCACTCTGCCTGCTGCTGGCCGGAGAGTGAGAACTAGCCTCCAGTCCCGCACACACACCCCTGGMCCGGGCAGCCATACCCCGGGTCGCTGTCTGGGGCGGCGCCGGGCGTGTGCGCTAAGCGGGTGGGGAAGCTCTCTACAAGGAGCACGACGGTCTCTGGGGCACTGGGATGAGATGAGCCGCAGCCTGGGCTCAGGGCTTCTCCCCCAGGACCGGGCAACGCTCGGGAGACAGAGACACAAGACGAAATAAGCGCAGGCACCACAAAGCCCACAGAGCGCACGGGTGATAGCCCCGGGACCCTTAGGCTGGAGCCCAGTGGTTCAGAGGTGGGGCGCGCAGGACGCCCGGGCCGTACCTTTTCGGTGCATCGACGAGCAGGCAGCCAGGGCTCGGAACGAACTGGTACAGAGTGTATCCCATTTAGTAATCCATTATCGAGAAGATCTCTCCGGGCCTCCAGCTGCGCTCTTTCGTTCGCAAGCCTTTGTCATTCCTACATGTGTGCTTGTCTCTTTTGGGGCAACAGTCGTGAAGACTACTTTCTGGGATACAAGCGAGCTGTGATCATCTCCAATGAAAGGCGGGGAAGGGGAGATCAAGAAAGAAGCCAAATATTTTTWAAAAAATTAAAAGGAAAGAAAAGAAAGAAGAAAAAGAACCAACAAGGACGAGGGTAAATGTTCAAGAAACTCTTCTCCAAATCCAAATTCCACTTGGATTCCACTCCGGTGAGTCCCCCTTGGTGGTGTCTGCGCCGATTAACAAGTCATTTCATGACGGGGGGCGGGGTGGGGGCTGGGGCAAGGGTGCAAAGCGCTGTCCCCTTTCTGCAGCCGGGAGCGCGGTGGCCGGGGTGTGGCGATGCTGGCCGCTGCCGCACGCTCCTTAGGCCGGCATCGCGGGCATTCGGCACCGCGGAGAAGCGCAGCTACTGCGTCCCGAGCGCCTGGGCAGCGGAGTGCGCGGGGAGCGGAGTTGGCTGCAGCCTCACCCCGTGCAGCTCACTACTCCTCTGTCACCGGAGAGGCCGACGCTCCCGGGCGGAGCCAAGTCCCGGACTGGATTGCGCAGAGCGGACTCTCCTCCTGCAACCCCGCCTCTTTTGGCTGGCGTCTCCTCCGACCCAAAGGAGAGCTGCGGTGTGTGTGAGTGCCAATGAGCGACKCTGAAAGGAGAACCTCCTCGGTGTGGCTGCAGGTGGAGCTTTGGACCGACTGGCCAGCGCCGCTTCCTTCTACCACAATTCCCGGCCCTGCGGCGTGCTAGGCTGAGGTCCCAGCGGGGCGACACTGGTTGGAGACCAGCCCTCTCCTCCCCTACCCCCCACATCTGCTCTAACAGGAAAAAAAAAAAAAAGAAAGAAAGAAAGAAAAAGAAAAAGAAAAATCCCGGGAAGCTTTGCTGAGCCCTGCCAAATCAGAAAAATAAACAAAAATAGACTTAGTGCTGGAGCGAGTTACAAGAAAGAATTTGTTCATCGATTTTCTTAAATGGAAAAGTTTGAAAGGACGAGAGTAAGTGAACGGCAAGTCTTTCTAATTCTGATTACTGTATCAAGAGGTAGATTTTAGAAATGATGGAAGCTCTATGAACCCATTGGATAGAAGCTGATGAGGTTAAAAATACTCTTGGAAGATAAGCACACAGCTATTAGTTACGCACATAAAGCACGTTAAGTAGATAAACTACAGTGCAGAAATGGTGTTGTCCGTTTTAAAACTTCTTGGTTTTGAAGTCCACGATGTGTGGACTGTTCTTACAAATGAGTAAACTTTAGAGATAAGACGCAAACAATGTCAACGAGAACCCAACAGCTTCATGAAAGAGGAAAATCGCAACCCCTTCCAAGGCGCTATTGTTAMGATCACATGAAGAATGGCAGGCACAGCCTTCCTCCGCCACTTGGACTTACAATAGCCAAGACGTCTTGCTGTTACAGGCTTGTGCCAACTGGTCAGGCCACACCAAGTTCCCCTCCCCCAGCCGCTGCGCTCTCCGRCTGCGCCGGCTGTGTCCCGCAAGCAACTGCGCGCCGCGGCTGCTGCTCCCCAAGTGGCTTCGCAGATGGTGCGGACCACGGCCGTAGCCTTTAATGAATGTTAACACCAGGCGGCCAGAGCACGAGCAATCTTTACTAGTCATGAGGTTGGTGGAAAAAATCAAGTGAGAAGTAAGATCAGAGTCTTAGACCCGGTAAGGCTGACTGGTCTCAGAAGCGGTACCTGTTCCCTAGTTGAGGTTAGCGTCACTAATAAGTCCACGTTCTGTTTTTTTCAGTTCCTGCATTTACAGACCTCTACTCAGGGATGCAGAATAAATCCACATACGACAACATCCTCCCTCACTCAACACACCTCTTTCTTTTCTTTTCGTTCTTTCTTTTTTTTTTTTTAAATTACATAAACCACCTGGAAAAGATAGGAAGAATGGTCAAGCGGGGGTGGGGGGGAAAGTCAGTTGTCCTGCTGTTCTCCAAAACTGCCAGCAGAGGCCGCTATCTCCACCTTTCCTAGGCAAGCAAAGGAGAACTACAGATATGGGGGGGGGGCGGCCTTATGTGCGCGCGCAGCCCCCAGAAGCTGGCTCTGGATGGGGACTGAGGAGAAGGCTGGACGCTTGGCTGTGCGCTACGGTGGCCTGCGTGGAGGGCGGGCTCCTGGAAGTCACTCTACTATCCTGCTCTGGTGCCTGCACCGCTCTCAACTTTTGGCTGCTCTACTTAATACCCAGATTTCGGCTGGTGATGGCAGAGCCAGTGCAAATGGGGTCCCCAAACTCATCCTGGCGCGAACTGGCCTCCCAGTGGTTGGGCCTAAGCCTCCCGGAGGTTCTTGGTCRGGCACTTCCACCCCGCTGGGGTCGCTAAGGCCGCTTCCTTAYTTTCCGCTGCTGATTTACATGCTAATTGGGTCTGGGAAAAGTTCTTTAATTGGCAGAATTAGGCAGAGCAAACGAATTGTTTCACAGTCTGAACCAAATTAATTCCGGGTTTAGCTCCTTCCCTTGGAGAAACAAACAATTAAGTTGTCTTGTTTGCTTTATGGATATATTGGAAATGCCCCACATCGAGTTTCAGGATATTGTTTAAAGGGAAATTATTTGCAGTATTAATACTTGCATGTTTAATTTGTAGTAACACTGAACCAAGAGGCAAGAGATTAAATTTACCTAATGTAAAATTGTAGAATACAAGAGGGAAAGAATTTGAGTTTACTTTTGCACAGCAAAGACATACCACCCAAAATCTTCTTGGCAATTATTAGATTCGAAAGTCTTTCCATCCAGTTAGGTGACCGTTGTCCTGACCACGTCATATTACAATTCCACCTGCCCAAGAGAGATGCTCCAGGAGAGAGAAAGAACAGCCAGCTACTGTAAGCCTCCAAACATCCTCRAGGGAGCACCTTTGGGGAGGCCAGCCAGCGATGAAACCTCTTGATGTCATTTCCTCTTCAGTGTGCCTCAGACTTGCTCCCAGCTGTCTGCCTTAACTGTTGAGTAAAACCACTGCGCCTTCAAAACCTTTGAAGCCTGCAGTTTACCCTGGTCCTTGGGAGCCAATGAGAGTTAAAGAATTACCACATTACAACTAGACAAAACTCTAGCAGGTTTTGTAGTTAAACAGCACAAAGTGCCATCATTAAGGCCTTGTTCTCCTGAATCCTTCCGGGGTTATGTAACTTACTAACTGGTGATATTGAGCAAGTCACTTTTATTTCTGGAGCTTCTCTGGAGTCACTTATTCTACTCATTTCCCAGGGATTGTCCAGATTAGATGGTGTGTGTAGATGGGGAATCCAGGGCACTCACTGCTCTGTAAATGTTAACTAGCATCTCTGTCGTCCTTGTTATCCTCCGCATTAATCCTGACATCACATTTTACAGGGGTCAGATGGAGGCACACAGGAAAAAAGTGGCTTGCCTTGTGTCAATAATTGGGTCAGAGATGGGAGCCACCCAAAACAACTCTCCTTCAACAAATGCTTATGACATCTGCTTCCCTTAAATCACCTGGGGAAGTGTAGAGAAAGATTACAATAAAACAAAACACTTGCCCAGGATCCCTTTAAAGACCACAACTAGCTGTTTTATGGAAATCTCTGAAGACAGAAAGGAGTAGTGAATTTGGGAAAACRGATATGCTAGTGCTTATGGCTCAGCTCCTTGAAGGTATGAGTCCTCCAGGCACATGATTTGTACATTTGGACTATTATAAGGAAGAAAGCTATCTGTATCCTGAACCTCTTCTCCAAAGTTTTCTCTTTGCCTTAAATCAGTGGTTTTAAAATTCATTTGGGGCTGGGGATGTGGCTCAAGTGGTAGCGGGCTCACCTGGCATGCGCATGCTAGTTTCGTTCCTCAGCACCACATAAAAAATAAAAGATGTTGTGTCCACCAAAAACTAAAAAATAAATATTAAAAAATTCTCTCCCTSTCTTTAAAAAAAAAAGAGTCATTTGCACATTAGAATTACCAAGGAATCTCTTAAATGACAAAAACTTTAGACTTCAGAAATTCTGATTCATTAAGTTGGGGTGATACTTAGGCTTTTTTTTTTTTTTTTCATTCTCTAAATGAGAAGTTCTCTCTAAAGAGAAAATCGCCGTTACAAAGAATCCTGGATGTTTCTGGAATACTGCTTTCCCCTTTTCCTGTTGGGACTGTTCCTTCTCCCTCTTGCCCCTTTATGCTAACACTGCCGAAAAGTGAGGTCAGTGTCATCTTTTTGCCTCATGCTGTTTTCAAGTCAGTTCTCCCCCACTCAAAAACTTTCGACCTTTGATAGCTGGGTTCTATAAATGCATCCATGCTCTCATCCACAGAYCTCATTTTACCTCATTCTTCCAAGACTCAGTGCCAGGCTCACTGTCTTATCTGTCCTACCTCCTGTTGTCATCATTGTTCATTATAGTGTTAGCATTCCATCTAACCATCAACCCTCTGGTGTCTCAGTTTCTTGTCTTTCTCATCTACACTGTCTTTTTTCTCTCCCCCTCTGCCATCCACTCTGGGACTTCACCTTAGACCTATCCTCAGAAAAGATTCCATATTCTAAAGCACTAATGCTGATAGCCCATTCCCAAATCACAATCACCTCTCATTCCAGCTTGACTGCTCTTGTACTCCCCTGATTTCTATATCTCCAGACCATGGGGCCTGTTCCTTTCTCCATCTTTCTTTAACTAGTTTCAGTCTAAGACCAGTTCTTTAGCATGTTCTTAATAATTGACACAGTCTCAGAAATTCTAACCTTTTGTTTCTAGCCTCTCACATCTTCTGATCAACAAAGAAACTTGTCTCTCTCCTCTTGGGAACAAGCCCTCCCCGATTCCACTTCCAAACCCAGGTATCACCAAAGATTGTTGACAACCACCTCCTCCCTCTGGCTTCTGTTCCTAGCACTCCACTGACAAGGCTTTTGGTCAAGTCTTCAGTGACATCCATGACAGTAACTGCAGGGGACATTTTAAAGTTTTCATTCTATTTGACTTCTCAGCAGCGGCAAACAGCCATTCTTTCCCTTGTGAAATACTCTCTGCCCTTGCCTTCTGTGACACAACACTCTCTCCTGATTTGCTTTCCCCTTCTCCTTCTTTTTTCTTAATTTTGTTTTCCTTTTGAGAAAATCAAGAGATAGGAAAATTTTCACAGAATAATATAACAAACATCCCRATTTTCACGACTTGGAACTAACAGCTATTAGTTGTTTCCTGTCTTTAAGAAATAAAATATGGCGAGAAAGCTTAATTTTCTTATAACTAGCCCTGTCTTTCCTACCTGCATATCCCACACCCCCATGCTTTTATAGGCAATACTGTAAGGAGTTTTCTGATACTTATAGTTAATTTTCTATACTTTCACATGTATATTTGTTTCTGTACTACAATATAATAATGCTTTTGCTTGTGGTTTTCCCCCAAATTAACATAAACAATATCCTGCTCACTCATGTCCTCCAATTTATTCTCCAAATTGTAGTCAAAGTGATGTTTGAAAAAATGACTCTCTGATTACATTAAGTTCTTGTTTAAAACATTTCAATCATTCCTTGGTATCTCCCAAATCAATATGACTTTCAAAAATATGCATAATTTGTCTCTTGCCTGTCTGATCTCC